GAATGATTACAACAGGGATCGATACTTGGGATATTAGCTCAAGTGGCTACTAAGTTAACTACAATTTCTGGCAAAGTCCAAAGTCAAGTTTCCAAAGTTGGCATGCACACATACACACATGTGCACACATATGTACACCCACCTCACATACACACACACAGTCCCATAAAACAGTGCCAAATCTAACTACACCAAACTGACGGTACACATTTCCAGAGGGTATTTCCCCCTATACACATCCAGGTGGGAGAGTTGGATAAGTCTACACAATACCCAGAGTCGCAGACAATAGGGTGAAAGCTCTGAATATCTGTCACTTGGTGGTGGGAGCAAATCATAGTAGCGCTGATAACAACAACAAACGCACTGTGATAACAACAAACGCACTGTCTGCTTACTACGTATCTGCCAAGAACTCTCCTAACCATTTTACACGCCTTCTCTCGTTATCCCCCAGAAGATGCTTAGAGCAGAGTGACTATCATTCCCTTATTTTGTTGGTGAGTAACTGAAACACAGACAGGTGTTAGTAACAGAGCCATGAATAGAACCAACCCCAAGATTTCCGATCCTATGCTCCAATGTCTCCCCTCACTATTTCTTAAGACCCATTAGATCCCCGCAGTAAAAATAAGTGACTCTCTGCAGGCTAACGTGACCCACATGTCACAATCCTTGTCTTCCTAGTCTCCCCTGGGAATGGACAGCTCTAGGAGAACAGCCATCATGTCCCTTCCACAACTGACATTACTGTCTGCTGACTTGAGACACACACTGCCCAAGCAGAATTCGCCAAGCCAAGCGCTGAAATCTCCCTGCTCTGCTGACAAAATACAAAGCTCTCTTATTTCCTAATGACAAATTACTACTGCTAAACTAAACAGCCAAGAGGATATTCACAGTGTGGGTTCATCTTGGAATCCCAGATGTCTTTCCCATAACACAGAAGTGGGCCAGGAAAATGCTAACACTTTTGTGGTAAGTAGTAAGCAAGGATAAACATTCCCTGGATTATGATTCCCCACAGGTTTGAGGGCAGAGGAGTTTCTTATGCCCCAGGTTATCTATCACCTGCTCTTCCAACTCTTTGTCTTTCATTCTATGCTATCTGACATCTAGCGCACACTCTAGGCCAACACAGCTAAAAAAAATTAGGCCACAGGTATGGATTAGTCAGTCACCCCACCACCTACTCCTACCAACTCCCCCAGTATATTTTTTTTCTTTACTTGAATTTCCACGGGAATCTATGTTTGGGGGAATTCAGAAGGAATTTGTCACACACAGATGGCTGTGATGTGTGTGAGAAGAGGCAGAGGATCAGCCCAAAATACAGGGCTGACCCAACAGAACTTTGCAGGGAATGAGACATGTGCAGGCAAATGCCTTCTGAGAGTCTATGGCAGGTGCCAGCTCTGCTCTGGGCTCACCTCACAGCACAGACATGGAAGAACAATGCTCAGACCTACCTCTGGAGGTACATTGAAAGGTTCCACCTCAACCTCAGTTGAGTTTGTTTTGTCTGACGCCTGCTGAGCTTTTCCATCATCAGATTTTTCCGCCTTGTCCTTACTCGAGCCTTTGGAAGATTTGGAGTCTTTGTCTTTGGAAGGCAACTTGAGCTCCTTCAGGGCCTTGGAAAATCTGGACTCCTGTGCCCCACCTGAGAGGATTTCCACAGCAATTTCTACCAAGATTCTGCCCCTGAATGACACACCCTCCCCAAAGCCTTCATTCAGTTCCTGGTAGTCATCCATCAGGCTGTGGTTCCTGGGTGAGCCATACAGGTTAATCCAGGCAGGCCCGAAGGTAGGTAGAAAGCCTGCAAAAAAAAAAAAAAAAACTTTAGTCATCTGGTTATGTTTTCAGGTTTATTGTGTGTGTGTGTGTGTGTGTGTGTGTTTTAAGAAATTTGCACATGCATTTAAAAATGTAGACTGCAAAGAAAAGAAAAAAATTAACAGGATATCCCATCATCAAAAGACAACTGGGCTAGCCCCATCGCACAGTAGTTAAGTGTTGTACATTAGAAGCCAGACCCCACATGGCCAGTCATATCTCCAATCTCAGCCCCAGAAACTTGAAAAACACACCAGGTGCATGTGTACGCATGCCTAAAATCCTGATGGGATGGTAGAAAGAGAACCACGGCATGACCACACCTCCATTAGGGGATTGCTTTCTCCCTCTCCCTATGGTAAGTATACATGCCCTTTGGTTATTAAAACAAACAAACAAAAGACAATCATACAATTTTGTAGTATTTCCTTGCAGTCCTCTTTTCCATGCAACCAAGAAGATTTTTAAAAGTTTATGAAAAGTGAATTTAGAGGCTAGCAGGTGACGTGGTGGTTAAGGCACTGGATTCTCATGCGGTCTCTCACTGTCTCTGATGAGCACACAAACCCTATAACAAAAACCTTAAAAAAATTTAAATATGAGTTTTAAATGGTGCAAAATGATTTTGGTTTTGGGATTTTGTTCCACAGATACATCATCATTTATCATCACCCTATATTATTATGGACTGTCCATAACTGTACATGTTATACCTTAAATGACTGGCAGCACAGTAGTTTTGTTTACACCAGCATCATCACAACATGTGAGTAATGGTTGTGCTACATCCAGGACAGTTATGACACCACTGAAATTTTTCCACTCCCTTATAGTCTGGTGAGAACACTATTGTTTATGTGATTCGTCATTAAAATATCATTATATGACACATGACTGTAAAATCAAACTGTCAAAAATCAGACAGTAGCTAACATCATATATGCATAAGTTATACCATGGTGAAAAGTTGAAAATGTTGTCCCTCAAATCAGGATGTCCACTCTCAACCCATCATTTCTGTCCCACATAGTCCTAGAGGTCCTAGTCAGAGCAATCAGAACAAAAAAAGAAAAAAAAGAAAGATCATCCAGATTGGAAAGAAGTAAGTTATCTCTATTTGCAGATGACATGATCTTATATAAATTTTTGAATTAATAAACAAATTTAGCCATAGATGCCTGTATCCAACAGAGCTATAAACACCTGACTCCTCCCATTTACTGGTGCATATTGGTATAAATGGATGGGTTTGCTGGTTCAGTTGGGGTTATGGAGACCTTGTCTGATCCCATCTCTAATCTTTTAGGCAGCTGAGGTCAGGGTGGAGGAAAAGACAGAGTCTGGGGATGGAACAAAGTGTCTTTATGCCTAGAATTGTAGGGCAAGGTGTGAGCTGCCTATGGGAACTCCTGGACTCTTCCTCCCCACTCCTTGAATGAAGAGCAGTAAGCAGCCCACCTAAATCCACTTCCTTTTTTCTCTCTTTTTTTCTTTATTATTATTTATACATTTAATCACTATACATCATTTAGATTGTAAAGAGACTTTACTCAACATGATATACACCTCAGCCCAGCTCAGTTGAGAATGTATACACATCTTCAACAACAGATAATAAACCATATCTGTGTCCCATAAATGTCTTACGTCTCTATTTTTTTCCCCAAATTTCCTTTCCAATGCTCTTCAAATCCTACATTGTCTTTCCACTTTGTCTTTAGTGCCCATAACAATTTTTAATGCTTTTATGTCCTCTAGACTTTCAATCTCTACTATATAGTGCAGACAGTCAGTATAGGTTAAGTGGAAACATACAGTGTCTCTCTTTCATAGCCTGACTTGCTTCACTCAGCAACAAATCTTCCATTTTTGTCCACTTTCTATCAAATTCCAGGGCCTTGTTGTTTTTTATGGCTGAGTAGTATTCCGTAGAGTATACGTCTCACACTTTTTCAATCTATTCATCCATTTGTGAACGTTTGGGTTGGTTCCATGTCTTAGCAATTATGAATAATGCCACAGTAAATATGGTTGTGCAAGTGCTTTTCTGACTGAGAGTTCTCCTGTCCTTTGAGTAGATACCCAGAAGTGGAACTGCTGGATTATATGATAGTTCTATTTGAAGGTCTTTAGGGAACCTCCATATTGTTCTCTACAGTGGCTGAACCAATTTACATTCCCACCAACAACGTAGGAGTGTTTCCCTTCCCCCACATCCCTGCTAGCACTTGTCATTTTTTTTTTTTAAATCTTTGCCATTCTGACTAGGGTTAGATGCTATCTCATTGTGGCTTTGATCTGTGTCTCCTTTATGATGAGGGATGCTGAACATTTTTTCATATGCTTTTTGGCTGTTTGTATGTCTTCGTTAGAGAGTTGTTTATTCAGCTTATTTTCTCATCTTTTAATTGGGTTAATAATTTTCTTCAGGGTAAGCCACTTGAGTTCCCTGTGTATTCTGGCTATCAGTCCCTTATCTGAGGCAAGTCACACTAGTTACAGTGTCCTGTGCTGTGCAGAAATTTCCTTATCTGATGTAATCCCACTCGTCTATTTGGGGTATTATTGCCTGTACTTTGGGAGTCTTGCTTAAGGAGTCTTTGCCTACCCCAATGTCTCCCAGAGTTTCTCCAGTGTTATCTACCAGTAGTTTTATAGTTTGTGGTCTTAGTTTTAGATCTTTGATCCACTTTGAGTTTATTTTTGTTAATGGTGACAGATAGGGGTTTAGATTCATCTTCCTTCAGGTGGATACCAAGTTTTTCCAGCACTATTTGCTAAAGAGGTTTTCCTTTTCTCACTGGATTGACTGGTACCCTTTCTCAAGGATCAGTTGGTTGTATGTTTTAGGGTTTATTCCTGGGGTCTCTACTCTGTTCCATTGGTCCTCAGGTCTGTTTTTGTGCCAATACCATGCTGTTTTGACTATCGCAGCTTTGTTATATATTTTGGGATCAGGCAGTGAGATGCTACCCACTCCACTCTTCTTGCACAGGCTGGCTTTGGCCATCCTTTGATATTTTATGATTCCAGACAAACTCTATGATTGTCTTTTCTAGATCTGTGAAAAATGTCTTTTGTAATTTTATACGGATTGCATTAAATATGTAGATTAATTTGGGTAGGTTGCCATTTTGATTATATTAATTCTGCCAATCCAGGAACATGGGATGTTCTTCCACTTTCTTGTGTCCTTATCAATTTCCTTTTTAAGGTTTTCATAGTTTTCCTTATAGAGGTCTTTGACTTTATTGGTTAGTTTTAATCCTAAGTATCTTATACTTCTTGTTGCTTTGGTAAATGGGATTACTTCTTCAGTTCTTTCTCTGTCTGCTTGTCGTTTGTATATAGAAATGCTATAAATTTTTTATAAGATAATTTTGTATCCTGCTATTTTACTGCAAGCATTTATTATTTCGAGGAGTTTTTTCATGGATACTATCGGGTTTTCAACATATACATTCATTCCATCTGCAAACAGAGATAATTTCAGCTCTTCTTCTATTGGAATGCCTTTTATTTCCTTCTCTTGTCCAAGTGCATTGGCTAGGACTTCCAGTACTATATTGAATAAGAGTGGAGAAAGTGGGCAGCCTTGGGAACCAGCAGTTAGCATAATGGCTATGTCGCTGGACTCCCATGTAGTCTCCCGCGGTTCGCTTCCCAGACCCGGTGGCTTAAAACTCACACAGAGCGCGTGTGCGTGCATGCCCAAGATCCCGAGAGGAGAATGGAGGAGAAGGGATTGCGGTGTGACCATCTCCCCTGGGGGGTGATTTCTCACTTTCTGTCTCTCTGTCTCTCTCTGTCTGTCTGGCGAGCACACATGCCCTATAGCGAAAATCTCTCCAAAAAAAATAAAAAGAAAGAAAGAAAGAAAAGAAAAAAAAAGAAAGTGGGCAGCCTTGTTTTGTACCAGTTTTTAGTGGAAAAGCTTTCAGCTTTTCTCCATTCAGTATAATGTTGAAGGAGACACACAGAGAGAGAAGATGGACTAAATGCCACAATCCTTCAGCCTCCATAGGTTTTTGCCATAGGGCAGGCACCACCACACCAAGCCCCATTCAGTATAAGGTTAGCTATAGGCTTTTCATAGATAGATTTTATTGTGCTGAGAAACGATCCCTCTATGCCAATTTTCCTGAGAGCCTTAATCATAAAAGAATGTTGTATTTTGTCAAATGCTTTTCCCACATCAATTGAAATGATCATATGTTTTTTATCTTTCTTTCTGTTAATATGGTATATTACATTTATGGTTTTGTGTATGTTGAACCACCCTTGAATCCCTGGAATAAAGCCTACCTCGTGATGAATAACCTTTTTCATATGCTATTGAATATGGTTAGCCAGTATCTTGTTGAGATTTTTTTGCATCTATATTAATCAGAGATATAGGTCTGTAGTTTTCCTTTTTTGTCACATACTTATCCATTTTGGGAATTAGAGTAATTGAGGCTTCATAGAATGAATTTAGAAGGGTTTCTTCCTTTTGGATCTCCAGAAACAGTGTGGGTAGAATGGGGTTACCTCTTCTTTAAAAGTTTTATAAAATTCTGCAGTGAAGCTATCAGGACCTGAACTTTTCTTTGTTGAGAGGTTATTTATTACTGATTCAATCTCATTGCTTGTTATAGGTCTATTCAGGCTTTCTATGTCCTCCTGAGTCAATCTTAGTAGTTTATATGTGTCCAGGAATTTGTCCATCTCATCTGGGTATTTTTTTTTTCTTTGTTGGCATGTAGTCACTCATAGTATCCTCCAATGATGTTCTGTATTTCTATTATGCCTGTTGTAATGTTGCCTGATTCATTGCAAAATTTATGTCTGGTTCCTTTCTCTCTTCTTCTTAATTGGTCTAGCTAATGGTGTGTCAATCTTGTTTATCTTTTCAAAGAACCAGCTTTTGCTCTCATTTATTTTATGTATAGTTTGCTTATTTTCTATTTCACTTACTTCTGCTTAAATCTTTATTATTTCTTTTCTCCTGTCATTTTTTGGATTTTTTTGTGGTTCTTCTAATTCCCCGAGGCATGATGTTAGGTTGTCCTTTTGCCATTTTTCCATCTTTTTCTTACATGCACTAATTTCTACAAAATTCCCTCTTCTGACTGCTTTTGCAGTGTCCCATAAATTATGAAAACTTATGCACTCATTATAATTTGTTTCCATGAATCTTTTTATTTCAGTCTTGATCTCTTCAGTAGTTATGAAGTCATTCAGAAGGAGGTTATTTACTTTCCATATATTTGTGTATTTTCGAGGGTTTTTCCTGAGATTAATATCAAGTTTAATTCCATTATGGTTGGAGAAGATGCTGGATATAGTTTCTATGCCTTTGAATCTGTAAAGGATGATTTTGTGCCCTATCATGTGGTCAAGTGAAAAACAATTTCAACCAAGAATAATATACCCAGGAAGATTATCCTTCACATGGGAAAATAAGATAAAAATGTTCTCAAATAAACAAAACCTGAAAGAATTTACCAACTCCAGACCAGCTCTTCAAGAAATTCTGAAAGGAGTACTATACCAAGAAATCTAAAGACAGACAGACAGCAATAAGAGAACAAAAAAGAACCAAGAATATGGCCAACTTAATAGTAGGGACATGTCTGGAAATATCAGCTGAGACTGGGAGTGGATCACTTTCCGGGGATGCCTCTCTCTCCTGGAAGAAATAATAAACTTTTTTTTTAATCCTAAGATTTAAAAGAAAATAACAAAATAAATGACAAAGATAGGCCTCTACAGCATTCATTTTAAAGCCTATTTCCAAGCCAGACATATGACACGCTACCTTTATCTCCATCTTGTTCATTGGAGATTTTCTTCAGATCGATGAAGTGGGTGGCCAGTGCTATGTCATTCATGCTGCCTTCATCCCAGACCTGTATTTTCACCCTCCGGCACAAGGGAGGGAACATTTCCTTGAAGACCACCTGCTCGTGCCACACAGGATCAGCACAGTTCTTTTGCACTGTGGTTCGCCCCTAATAACATAGCCAAGAGGATGTGAGTTGTGGAAGGAAGTGACTGGCTAAAGAAAACTCTTGAAACTAGCTGGAAATATAAAGCAAGTTGCCAAAAATAACGAACTTGTTTCTTTCTAACATCCACAAAAGTCAGTTATGGCAGCAAACATGGCTGATGACCTGGTCTGTTCTGGATGCCTTGTCAGGCATCTTGGAAGGCAAGTCTTGGCCCTGCCCTTGGAAGTTCTAACAGCATACAGGGGGTGGAGTGAAAATAACTCCATGTTTTGAGCAGGAATTATTTCATACATCTTCAAAACTCCAGTGGTTATAGCTAGACCCTGAGCTCATGTTTTATAAAAGTATGGCCTTGTGAAAGTCATGTTTCTAGTCTAAACTTTGATTTCCTCACATAAGATGGACCTGTATGACCTCCAAGTTTAGCCCAAATCAAAAATACTGCAACTTTTTCTATGGGGAGGGAAGCAGGATAGGTATTCATTTTATGGCACAAACATGTTTATCAACTGAAGCTTCAAAGTCTGGACAAGCAGAATTAAGCTCTGCCCATGTACTCAGTCTTGGTATTTCCAATAGCTCTTGAGCAGGGTGATGAGATATCCAGTCTTACATAGGACAAAGACTATATGGGTAGATTGTGAAACAGATCTGATGAAGGGTGGTAATTCTACAGGGCTTGAGTACCAAGTACTGGCATGGAGAAGTAGCTAGAGGTGAGGAAGGACTCTGCCTGGGTTCTAACCCATGATGTACCCATGACTCCTTTCCATTATCTCCAATGAAGAATGAGAGTGTAAGCCTCCCCTACTTCCATGCCACATTGCCTTTTTCTGATAAACTTTCTCTTTCAAGGTACTTCCTAATTTTTATTTTAGTTTAATTTAATTCAATTAAATGTTATGAATAAAGAGCAAGGTTCTGGCCTAGGCCTGCCAGTATTGGTGACAATGGTTCCTCACCATCTGCCCAGCAAACGAGACCTCCACGAAGGGATCCACGAGGTCCTTACTGTCACCCACAAATGCTTTGGTGACATTCGCCATGATGCTGGAGTTCATTTTGGGCAATCCTTCTGCTTTGTAGAGTCTCACATAGAATCTGGCCCAGGGTCTCTCAGATGGAAACCCTTGGGGGATCAAAAGGTTCCTTAAGGGGGACAAAAATAAATACACACACAAAAAGAATCTCTCTCACCTGACAGAATAAAGAGAAAAAAAAAGAAGCAGTTCTAGAGGCAGAAAGAAGTGTTTTGATAAAACAGTAAGATTCATCATTGAAATGAATTTTCTTCCTAGTATAGATGACAATATGCATAGAGTGAATACAAACTTGTTCAGAGCTCAGAATTATAAAAAAAAACACTGTTTCCACTCTACACCTTAGAACATGATCATGTGGATCTTCTCACATCACAAACTAGTGGTTGAAGTGATAATTTCATCAAAGAAAGGTCAGCTAAGTTCAGATAAATAAGACAACCCCAGGAATAGCATTATTTATAATGGATTATTAGAGGAAGTCACACTATTCTTGTCCTAGAAGCTGATCTCCCAAAGGAGGGCTGGGTCTCTGATGAGATTCTTCTTGGGGCCTCTGACAGAGCAGAATCCCAGTGAACAAGTCACAAACTTGGTGGTTCCCATGCACCCAGAAGGAAAAGGGAAGAGGGAGGAGGAAAAGACATAAAGTTGGAATATATAATTTCTTTTGTATGGCCCAGGTGGACTTGTCTCACTTTTCTATTTGTTCCTCGGTGTCAGAGGTCTTGGGGTTCGTCTTTAAGATGTCACCTTTCCCGGTCATACTGATGTCACATTTCAGGTACCCCTTGGTGCCAGTTCTGATGTCACCAGGATCTGTGAGCAGGGCCCACTTGTCACAGAACTGATGACCTGTAAAAGGATCCCAACAGCTCAGAGGCCTTCCATAGGTGGGCCCAGCACCTCCCCAAGTTCTTTCAGACACTCCACAGCTTCCCACACTTTCCTCCTTCTGTTGCTCTAGGCACGGCCTCCTCTCCGGTATTCCAAGTCTTCTGCTGCCTCCCTCTCTCGCTTTCCTCCTCTCCTTTACTTCCCACCCAGTTCTCCTCCTTTCTCTATAACCTACCCTAGGTATCTGGGAAGCTTCAATCTAGTGGAAATTGCAACAGGGTTGCAGCTTAAATCAGATAGGGGGGCATCAATGAGTAGAAGCCATGTATTATTTGCCCATGAGCCATAAACATGGCTCACAGACCTTTTGGGTTGGCCTATACCGTGAGTCAAAGTTCAAAATTACTTACACAATTTAGACTTCTAGCTTATCTTTAAGAAATGGTTGGCTCTGGTAATGCTGGGTTCACATTTCCAAACAGCAGCAAATGGTAAGGAGCTGGGTAACCACCACTTTTACAGTCATGAGACCCCTCCCACCACCTCAGTCCTTGCAGATGCCACCACTCCTTCAAGTATCACTCCCAGGTCACCACTTATTTATGTTCACTACCTGCCCCTCCTGCAGTCATATACATTGGAATCATTGTTGAAGGCAAAGGGCCTTTCATAAGAAGATCTGTGTTTCTTGCTGGCTCTGCTACTTATTTTCTCATGACCATGGACAAATTACCTAGCTTCTCCGGGTTTCACTGTTCTACAAATCAGGAATAATAATAATTATTATGGCAAACTTTTATATGAAATGCCATAGTCATTACTATGTGCTAGCATCTCTTCTAAGCACTTTTTATCTATTTATTAACTTTCTTAATCTCCAATGGCATTATGAAACAAGTACTGTTTTATCCTCATGTCTATAGATGAGGAAACTGAGGCACAGAAAAGTTCAGTCATTTGCCCACAGTTGCACAGCTATGAAATATTAGAGTAGAATTCAAACCCAGGTAAACAGATTCCATAATTCACATTCTTAGCTTCCATATTCTACCAACCCTCTTGCTGCATCTTACTGCATTTAAGATCTGAGAAAAAAATCCTGTTCAGAAGTGGACATATAAGATCATTCATTATATTATAAAACTTTTGAGGGCAAGAGCCATGTCTCATTCAAATTTGTATAATTGGTAGTCAACACTATTAAGTGAATGGTTATACAGATGAATGAATGAATAAGATGAATTTGAGGTGCCCGAAACCAAGGAAGCATAAGAGAGAGGGCTGGGTAGGTGATGCTTTCTTACCAGGTTGGTTGTACACAGTCCCCAGGTCTACTTTGAAAGAGCCAATCAGTATGCTTCCTATCAGCTTGTGGTGAAAGACCTGAAGGAAGACAGAGCAGTGAGTCCAGCAGATTTATCACTGGGGAGAAGTCTGTGAAATGGGTCTATGATGTATCAGAGAGGCTTCTAGGCTTTGACTCTTGTCTGACTTTGAGCCTTGCCTGAAGCACAATGGAATATGGTCATCAAACCACAGTGTTGCAAAAGACCTCCAGAGGTATCTCACCTGTACCTCTTCCTCTTAGCAGGTTTTCAGCTAATTCTCAATTGAAGAATGCATAGCAACTCTCACTACCTGAAAATTTTCTTTAACCAAAGTGAACCCTAGTGTAGCCACCTTTGAGCCCACCTAATAATCACATCTGCCTTTGTAACTCTAACAATACTTCAATGCCTAAAAGAAATGTCATTTCCTCCGAGCAGCTCTCCCTGCTCTTCCACGGCTGGAAGTTTTCCCTTTCTCCCCTAAACTCCCATAACACTTTGCTCACAACTTTTTCAGAGAACTCATCATATATTGCCTTGTGATATTCTGACATTCATGAAGTGACTTCAAAAAGTTTGTTGAAAAATGGGATTAAAATACAAGTTTATTGTAGTGCAAAAACACTTTTGAAATTCATGCATAGTTCTTTTCAAAACATGCATTCTTATGAGCTTTCTCATGAGTCCTTATATAATAGTCAGAATGAGGGAAATGGTCTTCCTCAATATTTGGTCTGATCAGAAGTTAGTAGTGTACCTGTCCCAGGAGCACAGTTTAAGACAAGGAAGTTCCAAAGGAAGGTGGAAGAGCTGGTGCTGGGTCCAGATGCCACATTGGATGTGACACTTCTGAAGAACCAGGAGTAATTTAAACTTTCACCCAGGAAAAAGAGAATTGGCAGTGGGGTGGCAAAAGGAAAATGGAATTCTAAACCTAAGTATCTTCAAATCTTGGAAATGCTGCTGTCTGAAGAAGGAATATGTTCCCCTAAATGGCTCACAAGTAATAAAATGAGACAGTTCAGCTCAATATAATGACAATTTATATAACAGTCAAAGCTTTCAACAATGGCTTTACTAGAGGTAGTGACCTTCCCCCCACTACTGAAAATAATCTAATCAAGTCTCAAGAACCCAACATCATGGAAAGGATGGGAAGAAATTCCTACATCAGTTGGAAGTTATGTTAGATGGCCTCTTAGCTTCCTTCTGACTGTAAAATCCTTGAATCAAGGACATTTTCATTCTATCTTTCACCTATAACATGACCTTGTAAAACAGTGGTCCCTGACCTTTTCAGTACCAGAGTTCATGGAAGACAATTTTTCTACAGATAACAGGTGGGAGGACAATTTATGAGGGTGCACAATCCAGATTCCTTACACATGCAATTCATGATAGTGTTTGCACTCTTATGAGAATATAATGATGTCACTGATCTGACAGGAGGAGGAGCAAGGTTGTGATGAAAAGAATGGGGAGTAGCTGTAAATACAAATGAATCTTTGTTCACTTACCCACTATTCACCTTCTCCCGCACAGCCCAGTTCCTACAGACCATGGGCCAGAGCTGGTCCGTGGCCAAAGAGTTGGGGATCAATGTGATAAATAACAGATACTCAATAAACATTTAGTTAATTGAATTAATAAATGACTCATTGATGAATGGAAGGTCTTTGCAGCTTCTAAATAGCTTCTTTTGCTGAGATAATAAGGAAAAATGAACCCAACTGACCTCAAAATATGACAGATCTTTCCATTTCTCTTTCCACTCTCTATCCTTTGCTTAAGGGTGTTATGGAACTGAGGGCAAGTAAGGACAGCTGACTCAGGTGATTAATGTGGCTTCCCAAAGCCCTGCGAAAGAACAGAAGCCTGTCTCAAGTTCTCTTCTCAGGCTGAGGGTCCCTGTGGACAAGTTAGAATGTAAGAGGTCCAAACAAATGTTTAAGCAGCACAGAAGGCCTCTTCAAGTCACCTGTCCAGTGGATGAGTGCCAGGAAACTCTGGTATGTTGAATATTAGATTACCAGGACCCTGGGGATGTCTCAAAGTGCTGAGAGCCCTGCATGCCTTGGGCCAGCCACTGCTAAGGGAAGATGATCCTTAGTCTCACAGCCTGGGTGCCCCAATAGCATCTGCTTCCCTCTCTTCTTCTCCATTCAATTTATTCTAAAAACACTGAATTTCAGTTCATGAAATAACATAAAAGTTGTATTAAATATTCCCCTCTGGCCAACCCTATGGTCTAGAGGTTTAGGGAGCCAGATCCCACATGGCCAACTAGGTTTCAAATCCTGGCCTCAGTGGCTTGAAAAACATGCCAGGTGCATGTCCATGCATGCACAAAATCCCAACAGAATGGAGAAATGGAGAAAGAATTTCAGCACAATCATGCCCCATTGGGAGGGGTGCTTTTCCCCTCTTTCTCACTCTCTCTGCTTCTCTGTCTCTCTCTGGTGAGCCCATGTGTCCTCTGGGAATTAAAAAAATACCAAAATATCTCTGAGAAATACCAAAATATTCTCTCCTTCCAGGTTAGAGAATCAGAGATAGGAAATACCAACTTTGACTTTTTTAATCTAAAAATCTACATGTCCCTAAACAGTCATGACCTTTGTCTATAACGCAATATAAAAATCTAGTGATTAACTGTTCATCTGCCACCTGGAGGGTCCCTTAGGAGCCTGCAATAGAACAGATCTCATAAACAGGTAGTTGCCTAAGTGATAGAACCAAGTCCTGGGCAACATCCCAGGTCCTGAAATAACCTTCTGTGCCACTTGTCATCATGCCTGAAATTCAAACATTAAGAATGTTTGGCTCTTGATGACTTCATTCCTTAAGAGTCACATTCTTCAAGTGCTCCAGTAAGAATAATGCCATAATTCCCCCATGGCCTAGGCCTCAACACAGGACTTTGCTGACTGCCAACTGTGATTAAAGGGAACATACTCTATATATTTATGTATTATAAAGAGTGGGTGCTGGGAACCAGCAGTTAGCGTAATGGCTATGTCGCTGGACTCCCACGTAGTCGACCGCGGTTCGCGTCTCGGACCCGGTGGCTTAAATCTCACGCCGCGCGCATGTGCGTGCGTGCCCAAGATCCCGAGAGGAGAATGGAGGAGAAGGGATTGCGGCGTGACCATCCCCCCTGGGGGGGGATTTCTCGCTTTCTGTCTCTATGTCTCTCTCTGTCTGTCTGGCGAGTGCACGCGCCCTATAGCGAAAACCTCTCCAAAAAAAATAAAATAAAATAAAATAAAATAAAAAAAAAGAGTGGGTGGGGACCAGCAGTTGGTGTAATGGCTATGTCGCTGGACTCCCATGTAGTTGACCGCGGTTGAGTCCCAGACCCGGTGGCTTAAACTCACGCCAGGCACATGTATGTGCATGCCCAAGATCTCAAAAGGACACTGGAGGAGAAGGGATTACGGCATGGCCATCTCCCCTGGGGGGTGATTTCTTGCTTTCTGTCTCTCTGTCTGTCTCTCTCTCTCTAGTGAGTGCATGCGCCCTGTAGCAAAAACCTCTCAAAAAAAAAAAAATAAGGAAAAGAGCAGGTGATACAGACAAGCAAGGAAGATAATGGCAGGGGAGAAAATCTTCAAGACAAGTTTTGTCATCTTCACAGTTCTAATTAGAGTATTGTGAATGTTGAGGAAAATAATCCCTTGTTCTCCACACATTCTACACTGACACATGAAACAGTTCTGTTCTTCCAGAACTATTTGGAAGAGAACTAACTCTTCAACAATCCCACTCCCCCACCCCCACACACCCCAGACCATCACACTCCTCTCCATGAGAACAGGTGGTTTCTCAAACTGGTGAGATCAAGCCATCTATCATTGCTGGTCTCTGACCCTTTGCTACGTGGTGTGAAGTTGGTAAGGATCCCACTTAGCCATCCTTCTCTCTCACTGGGGCGAGTATGGCTTCAATGTGACACGTTCCCTTCCCATTCCTGTCCTCTTATAATGGGCAAACCTAGATAAGGCACCTGGCTAGGCCAGGAATTACTCTATCTCTACTATTCAGGTTTGGTCACTGGAGGCAGCAATTCCTCTGGCAGGGCTGAAGAAAGAACCTAACTCCCCATGGACAGGTCCTGAGGTTTATACTCAGAGGCAACTTTTAAGAAGCCCAATAGCTGAGGCCAGCAGATGGCATGGTGGTAAAGGCACTGGACTCCCACATGGCTGACTGCAGTTCAAGTTTTGGACCCAGAGGTTTGAAAACCACACCAGATACGTGTGCATGCATGCCCAGAGTCCCAAGAGGAGAATGCAAGAGAAAGGTTTACAGCACGGTCATGCCCCCTGGGGGGTGATTTCTCACATTCTCTCTCACTGTCTCTCTCTGTCTCTCTCAAGCAAGTGCATGCACCCTATGGTTAAAAACCTTTAAAATAAAATTTAAAATGTTTAAAAGGAAACCTAATGGCCACTGCTTTCTACAAATCATCTTCTCTAATATAGCATTCCCATTGATGAGACTGATACATGTATTTAGTTATGTCCTGATTCTTGGTCCTAGTTTTCTACATATTACTAACTATGAGAGGAAAAGAGAATTGACATTGGCATTGATATCACCCCAGGAGAAAAATACTGACATTTTCTTGATAAAAAGAAATATACCAACTAAAAAATATACCAATTCATTGAGACGCCTTTTGAAGCATACGCTTCACATCCCCACATTAGTAAGCTACACAACTCAATTCATAAGAGCTTTGCAGTAGCTTACAACTTGCCGCCAAGGAGCACAGATTTTCTTGAGGGGGCTGTCCCTTCCAGCTCTTGTCTATATTGATTATTTCAATCTCTATCCTGTTGTTCTCAGACTCATAAACCCACACTTGCCCTCCCGGATCTGTTTACTTCTGAGCATGCTGAGCTGTCCCCAGGGGTTCCAGTGCCTGGATGCTCTCCCACCTCCCCAGCTCCCACCACCTGTGGCTTACTTACTGAGAGTTTGATGATCTTGTCAAATAGATGCGCTTGGGGCCCCATGAAGTCGAAGACAAAATACTGTAAAACATAATGTTTATTCTGGCTGTCAACTCCGGCTGGCCTCTAAGAACCCTATTCCTGAAGTGAGGTAGACCTACATCACTCTAAACAACTGTGGCTTCGTTCTCACTGGCATAAAATGGTTGGCCATCTCCTATTGAATCACTTAAGTTATCATTCATTGTTTTCAAATGCAAAAAAAAGAATTGCACCAATCACATTTTTTTAATAGAATATGTGTGAGTCTTCCTCTAAAACGGACATGGGAAGTGGAATTGTTGGGTCGTGGATTACGTGCATTCAAAATTTTCATACATAACATAAAATTTCTTTCCAAATGAGCTAGGGCTAAACCATCTACATTCTCAATAGCGTCATATAAAAATAGTCATTTCTCTATGCCCTTGCCAACCCATGATCTTATCAGTTCTTTCCATTTTTTTTTTTGTTTGCTTATAATGATGGGTCAAAAAGATATCTCAATGTGGTTTTAATTTGGAATAAACTTGATTAAAATCTAATTTTCCCAGGATTTTTCTGTTTCAAATATTCTTATCAAATTACCAAAATTGACCAGGGACAGAATAAGATAATATCATGAACATGACAGATCTTTATTAGTAAAATAAAAGTGGTTGAATTTTAGAGTTTGAGTCCCTATATTTTATATAGAAGACTGAAAACAAAAGAATTTTTAAAATGTTGCCTAGTTTCATACTGCTAGTTATTTCTGGGCCTCGGACCAAACTTTAGTTCTCCCAAGGTTGTAGTGCAAGGGGTTCAAGTACTGCACATTTCACCCTTGAGCCAGGTTCCTTCCGAATGGGAGGCTGTACGACTCTAAGATTCAAAAAACTGGTACTTGGTTGCGTATTTTTTATTTTGGGAAACTGAAGAGGTTGGGAGAAGCAGGGTTGGGAAACCTAAGTCTCCTTGATTGCTTTTTTGGTTCTGAACAGAAGGGTAAAGGAATGACACATTAGAGACGGACATAACAGCATTAAGAAATGGAGAACTGGGGCCAGCAGTTGGCATGGTAGTTAAGGTGCTGGACTCCCACATGGCCAGCCACAGTTCACGTCCCAGACCTG